AACATCTTTTTCATTCCTGCCATAATTTCAAAATAAAATGACAGGATGTACGGTCAAGCAGATATACGGACAGGAAGCTTCAATGAACTACCGTGGCGCTCCACAGCATGTGGAGAACCAATTTTTAGCGTGGAACATGTAAAATGTTTTCCATAGCTGCAGCCACACCCACCTGCCCCCTCCTCTCTCTGAAAGATAGTAGGGGGAGAGGTTTCGCCCATAACTGTCTGTCAGATTTCAAAACAGTGCGGCCGTTGCAGGGCTCCGCCCACACGCCACGTCACCAGGGGCGGACTGATACAACTCATGGGGCCCCAGGACAATAGGGGATCATGGGGCCCCCTGTTGTCCTTGCCCAAAACTCAAAAAAGCCTATGAAAAAAAGGTACCAGGGGCTTCTTCATGGGGCCCCCTACTGACCCCGGCCCTTGGGCATGTCAGTGCCGAGTTTTCCAAATGGTCAGTCCGCCCCCTGCACATCACTCATTCACAGGGTCCTGAGAATGAGTGCCTACAAGTCCCACTGGATCATTAGCGGCTGTCGGCTTGTAGTTTTCAACTACCACAGCGCTGTACATTGATGAGGTTATGTCTGTTACAAAGCTTTCTTCTCCTGTCGTCAACATGCTCCTTTTTCTGCATATACATTTGTGATGCTTCCTCTTTTTTTCCACTATGAAGCTCCTGCTGTACAAGGACTGCAAAAGGCTTGAACCAAGTGAAATTCAGGTACTTATACTACTTGCATTAAAAAAAAAATATAAAAATATATTAATAAACACAGCATCTGCATTTGTTTGTATATTTTATATCTGCCTCAAGTTCAGCTTTAATTATTGTACAATGTGCTTATCCTTGTAGGGTACAGAGGTCCATTCCTTTCCTCACATCTGTTTTGTATGACAAGACTCGTGGGAAAACTCCATATGAGTCCATTTTTGGATGCTAATGGGAAATGAGTTTAACCCAAATTCTCTGCAGGTATTTCACTTTTTGGTGCTAATTTAATGGGAAATTATGTTAAAACGAGATGCATTTCTGTATGCCACTTTACTCTGCAGGTCTGTTATGTCACCTGGATTTTCGGAATTTTTTACATCTAATTTTTGGGGTGTAGCTATCGAATCCGATAAAACCTAATTTCTACTATTTTACACCAATCGAAGACCCTAAATGGTGGGACCCCGCAAAGCTATGTGCTGTCTGTATGCGTAGAGAATATCATTGTTCGCTCTGACCGTTGCCATTCAAGGTCTTTACTAGAGATGAGCGAATCGAAGTAGCCAGCCAGAAGTTGGAATTCGTTTGGCGAATATTGGAAAATTTCGGGTCCCGGAAATCCGAATCCGAAAAATAAGCAGACTGCGAGAGATGCGAGGCTGGCGAAATCGAAAATTTTTCCTAAAAATGTTAGTTCGGGCGTACAGTGCGGAGACCGGAGAGGCGGGGGGCGTGTGTCTGGGAAGGCGCGCAGACAAGGCGCGCTGACCCATAAAATAATGCAATTTCAGTTCTTGGCCCACATGAAAACGTTTCGCACGATTAGGCCAAGCAGAATTGCCAGCCAGGGACAGCACAGTTGTTAATGGTTACAGAGCTGAGGGACAAATGGGCGGCACACATTTTAGAATTCTCCTATTAGCCAGACACAGTTCATTCAAACAGAGGCACAGACCTGGCTGTATGCTGGGGAGAGAAGTTAGGGACAGACGAAACGTTACTTATGGACCCACAGAAACGTTAGTTTAGGGCCACAGAAATCGTTAGCTTAGGACAGACACAGAAGAAGATACACAGTTATCTTAGGGCTTAGGGCACAGAATCGTTAGTTTCAGTTAAGGGCCACAGAAACGTTACATAGCGGACACAGAATTGTTACTCAGGGGCACCGACACTCCTTCAGATTGTTTACTGAGGGACACAGAATTGGTTACTGAGGGCCACACATCAGAATCGTTACTTAGGGCCACAGAAAAACGTTACTTAGGGCCACAGAATTGTTACTTAGGGACAGACAGACAGAATTGTTACTTAGGGTGACAGACACAGAATTGTTTTGAGGGGGACACAGAATTGTTACTGAGGGCCACAGAATCTTTACTTAGGGACACAGATAGGGAAACTTAGGGCCACAGAAACGTTACTTAGGGCCACAGAAATGTTACTTAGGGACAGACACAGAATTGTTACTGAGGGACACAGATTTGTTACTGAGGGGGGGCCACAGAAAACGTTATTAGGGCCACAGAAACGTTACTTAGGGCCACAGAATTGTTACTTAGGGCCACAAATAACTGAGGGATACAGTTACTTGAGGGCCACGTACTTAGGGCCCAGAATGTTACTTAGGGTCACAGAATTGGTTACTTAGGGCCACAGACACAGAATTTGTTACTGATGCAGGGCCACAGAATTAGTTACTGATGGCACAGAAACTGAGGACACAGATTTGTTAGGAGGGCCACTGAAACGTTACTTAGGGCCACAGAATCGTTACTTAGTGCCACAGAAACCCGTTTACTTATTAGGGCCACAGGAAACGTTTACTTACGGGCCGACTGAATCGTTACTTATTGGCCTACAGAACTTTGTTACAATAGGGACAGACATCATGAATTGGTTATTGAGTGACACAGAATTGTTACTGTGGTGCCCACAGAAAACCGTGACACTTAGGGCCACAGAAACGTTAAACTTAGGGCCACTGAATTGTGAGATTACTTCGGGGACAGGCGATAACACAGAATAGTTACTGAGTGACACCCAGATTTGTTACTGAGGGCGGCAGGCAACAGAAAGAAAGTTACTCTTTAGGGCGCACAGGAAAGACGTAACGTTACTTAGGGGGCCACAGAATCGTTAGCTTAGGCGCCACAGTAGAAACGGTGTGACATAGTGGCCACAGAAACGTTACTTTTAGGCCACAGAAATTGTTACTTTATGGGAACAGACACAGAATTGTTACTCGAGGGCCACAAGAATTGTTACTGAGTGCGGCCACAGAACCGTTACTATAGGGGCCACAGAAACGTTACTTAGGGCCACACAGAAACTGTTACTTAGGGCTACACAGAAACGTTACTAAGGCCACAGAATCCGTTTACTTAAGGGCCACCAGAAATCGATTACTTATTATGGACACAGAAAACGTTAACTTAGTGCCACAGAATCCTTTACTTAGGGCCACAGAAAATTGTTACTTATGGACAGACACAGAAATTTGTTACTGATGGATACAGTATTGTTATATGAGGGACACAGAACCGTTACTTAGGGCCACGAGAAACGTTTACTTAGGGGCCACAGAAACGTTTACTATAGGGCCTACAGAAATCGTTACTTAGGGCCACAAGAAGAACGTTACTTAGGGCCACAGAAATGTTACTTAGGGTCCACAGAAACGTTACTTTAGGGGACACTGAATTGTTACTCATAGGGACAGACACAGAATTGTTTACTCATGATGTACAGACACAGAAATTAATAACTCAGGTACACAGAAATTTGTTACTGAGGGGACACATGAATTGTATACTGAGGGACACAGAATTGTTACTGAGGGACCACGAGAATTGTTACTACTCAGGGTACAAGACACCTGGGAATGTGGTTAGGCTCAGGGGACACAGAAATTGTTACTTGAGGGACACAGAGAATTGTTACTTGAGGGCCACAGAACTGTTTACTTAGCGGCCACAGAAACGGTTACTCTGGGACACAGAATTTTGTTACTCAGGGACAGACACAGTAGTTGTTTACTCAGGGGACCACAAGAATCGGTTTATTTTTATTTGAAGTTGAAGTATTAGAGTATGTCAGACAACATGCAGAGGAGTGGCAGAGTGAGAGGAGGGGCAAGGTTTTAGGAGGGCGAGCAGGACATGGCAGCAGAGGAAGGGGACGATCTGGCAGCAACTCTATTCGCAGCCAGATGCCAGTGCTCGCCTGTGTCATCCAGTACAGTGAGGGAAGTAGCTAAACAGAGGGCGGTCAAGAACGGGGGGGAGACAATCCCGCCTCTTCAGCAGCCCAGGCGAAGAAGTAGTGGCGAGGTTGGAGTGTCTCCGGGTTAAGCCGAGTCTATGAGGGACAGGGGGGTGGGAGCTGTCTACCTGACGCCACATACGCAGCCGAGGTGGGGCAGTATAGTGATGCGGAGTAACCCCTAATTGATGATTGATGAGGCTGGATCGCACTGGTGGCAGCCGTCGTGTCGTTCATCGCAGGCCTATGTGCTCTCCCGTCCATCATCAGAAAGAGGAGTGGCATGCTTGGGCAGCGAAGCAAAAAACAGTCCGGTGGGTTGTCTCCATCGCCACACCTCTGTCCATTGAAACCCACTTTCCAGGGTCTCCTCACCAGCTGCCTGGGTGGTGTTCCATTTTTTGTCATAGGGTTGCCTGGCAGATTACGGGCCTGCCCATAGCTGCTTGCCAGGCCCCCTTTAATCTTGCCATGGGACCCCTCGTACCGGCCTCCTCATGGGTGCTGCTGCCTAGGTCCCAACAGTGTCTTCATGCCATGTGCCACTTTCAGGGTCTCCTCACACCTGCTGGTGATGTTCCATTTTTTTGGTCATAGGGTGCTGGCAGATTACGCAGGGTCTCCCATAGCGTTGCAGGCCGCATGGCCCCTAATCTGGCCATGGTCCCCTATAAACCGTGCCTCCTCAATCTGACTGACAAGCTACTGCCGAAGTCCAGAGTCCTCTCGATGGGTCCCTGTGAACTGGCCTCCCATTGCTGCTTGGACTCCATCGCCACACTCCTAAATTGGTGGCCTACTTTCAGGTTCTCGTCACACACTGCTGCTGGGTGTGTTCAATTTTTTTTGACGATAGGGTGCTTGGCAGATTACGGGGCGCTGCGCCATAGCTGCTCGCTGCCAGGCCCCTAAACTCTTTCCATGGGCCCCTTAGAGGAGCGCCTCCTCAATGCTGCTGCGCCATGTCCCCATGAGTCTACTTCATGGGTCCCTGTAAACGGCCTCCCATTGCTTGCTGTCTCCATCGCCACACAGCTGCCAGGTTGTGCCACTTTTTCAGGTCCTCCTCACACACTGCTGGAGTGTGTTCCAATTTTGTTGACATAGGGTGCTGGCCAGATTACAGGCCTCCCCATAGCTGCTGCCAGGGCGCCCTAAATCTGCCATGGGCCCCTATAAAGCCGCACCCGCCATCCTCAATGAGCGTGCTGCCAGGTTACGATTAGTCTCATCATGGGTCCACTGTACGGCCTCCCATTGCTACTGTCTCCTTCGCCACACTCTGCCATGTGCCCACTTTTCCAGGTCTCCTCACACTTCTGGTGTGTTACATTTATTTGTCATCAGGGTGCTGGGCAGATTATCGGGCCTCCCATAGCTGCTGCCAGGCCCACTAAATTTGCCATGGGCCCCTGTGACCCGCCTCCTCATGCTGCTGCCCAGGTCCACAGTGTCTCTATGCCATGTGCCAGCTTTCACTGTCTCCTCACACTGCTGGTGTGTTCCCATTTTTTTGTTCATGAAGGGTGCTGGCAGATTACGGGGCCTTCCAATAGCTGCTGCAGGCCCCCTAATCTGCCATGGGGCCCCCTTATAACCGCCTCCCTTCATGGCTTGCCTGCCTAGGTTCCAGAGTCTCTCATTGGGTCCCTGTACGGCCTCCCCACTAAATCTGCTGCTGTCGCCATCGCTACACTCTGCTGCATGTGCCACTTTCAGGTATCTCCTCACACTAGCTTGCTGGTGTGTTCCAATTTTTGTTGACATAGGGTGCTGGCAGATTACGGGGTCCTCCCCATCTGCTGCTTGCCTGGCCCCTAATTCTGCCATGGGCCCTTGGTGCCCTTATACCCCGCGCCTCCTCATGACTGCTGCCCAGGGTCCTGAGTCTCTCATGGGTCCCCTGTAACGAGCCGCACCCAATTGCTGCTGTCTCCATCGCCACACTCTGCCATGTGCCACCTTTACAGTGTCTCCTCACCACATCTGCTGGTGTATTCCATTTCCATTTTTTTGTGCATAGGGTGCCTGGCAGATTACGGGGCCTCCCATAGCTGCTGCCAGGGCCCCCTAAATCTGCCTTGGGGCTCCCTGTACCGCCTCCCCCCCCACCTGCCACGCCTCCTCAATGCTGCTGGCCAGGTCCGACAGTGTCTTCATGCCATGTGCCACTTTCCAGGTCTCCTCACACTGCTGGTGTGTTCCCATTTTTTGTCATAGGGTGCTGGCAAGATTACCGGGCCTCCCATGGAGCTGCTAGCCAGGCCCCTAATCTGCCATGGGCCCCTATAACCGCCTCCTCATGTTGCTGCCAGGTTCCAAGAGTCTGCTCATGGGTCCTGTCACGTACATGCCCTCCCATTGCTGCTGTCCTCCATCGCCACACTCTGCCATGTGCCACTTTCAGGGTCTCCTCACACTGCTGGGTGTGTTCCATTTTTTTGTCATAGGGTGCTGGCAGATTACGGGGCCTCCCATAGCTGCTGCCAGGCCCCTAATCTTGCCATGGGTCCCCTGTACCCGCTCCCCTTCCTCATGCTGCTCTGACCCAGTCCACAGTGTCTCATGCCATGTGCCACTTTCAGGTCTCCTTCACACTGCTGGTTGGTGATGTTCCACATTTTTTGTCATAGGGTGCTGGCAGATTACGGGCCTCCCATAGCTTGCGTGGCCAGGCCCCTAATCTGCCATGGGCCCCTATACCGCCTCCTCATGATCGTGCTGCCAGGTCCAGAGTCTCTCATGGGTCCCTGTACGGCCCTCCCATTGCTGCTGTCTCCATCTGCCACACTCTGCCATGTGCCGACTTTCAGGTCTCCTCACACACTGCGCTGGTGTGTTCCCATTTTTTTTGACATAGGGTGGGTGTGGCAGATTACGGGGCCTCCCATAGCTGCTGCCAAGGCCCCTAATCTGCCATGGGCCCCCTATACCACCGCCTCCTCATGCTGCTGCTGCCAGGTCCAGAGTCTCTCATGGGTGGGTCCCTGTACGGCCATCCCATTGCTGCTGTCGTCCATCGCCACACTCTTGCCATGTGCCACTTTCAGGTCTCCTCACACTGCTGGTGTGTTACATTTTTTGTCATAGGGTGCTGGCAGATTACGGGCCTCCCATAGCTGCTGCCAGGCCCCCTAATCTGCCATGGGCCCCTGTACCACCCGCCCTCCTCATGCTGCTTGCCAGGTCCACAGTGTCTCATGCCATGTGCCACTTTCAGGTCTCCTCACACTGCTGGTGTGTGTTCCATTTTTTGTCATAGGGTGCTGGCAGATTACGGGCCTTCCCATTGCTGCTGCCAGGCCCGTAATCTGCCATGGGCCCCCGTACCGCCCGCCTCCTCATGCTGCTGCCAGGTCCAGAGTGTCTCATGGGTCCCGGTACGGCCTCCCATTGCTGCTGTCTCCATCGCCACACTCTGCCCATGTGCCACTTTCAGGTCTCCCTCACACTGCTGGTGGTTTCCATTTTTGTCATAGGGTGCTGTATGGCCTCCCATTGCTGCTGCCCCACCACCGCCACACTGTGGCTCCACACTCTGGTTTTGGCCCCCATGACTGCCCAAATGAGTGAAGTGTGCGGTGATTCTAAGATCGACGGCACTCATCTGCATGTCATACTGACTGTCAGTATTATTTCTCTTCCCCAGCAGACTCCAAGGGTCATTTAAATTAAAGGTACAGTGTTCTGCACTAATATAAAGGCTCTCTGAAGCCTAGAAACACCCTTTTTATAAGTTAAATTCGCTAGCGAATATATTCGACTCGAATCAAAATTTTTCCACGAATTCGCCGCCGAATCAGTCGAATCGAATTTTTGAATACTTCGCTCATCTCTAGTCTTTACAGTATGTGGACAGTGAACACAGGTATGGGGTTGGATGCATGCTTGAAATGGAGGATGGGTGCAGTCTCTGTCAGCCTATGCAATATATTTTTATTGGAAACAGGGACTTTAGCCACTTCATGTTTTTGAAAAAATCTTTTCTAAAAAAAAGATGTTTCAGTACTTGGGTCATACCCACCTTACATCTAACCATCATCTATGGATAGTATTGAAGTGATAACATCATCTTCCATGGAAAGTGGGAATGTTATTTCTCTGTGTACTGGTAGTATTACGATCAGCCCATTTATTACCCAGTATTCATGTAGCCCTATCCCCCTTAGGAGTCGCTGAGTTATTTTCAGGCTCCCTGTTGCTCTAGACCCCTCTCTGAAAGCCCAAACCCTACTGAAACCAAAGCACTCTTCTAACCAGAGTAAAGTGTCACCAGAAAACAGACTAGATTAGAGTGAACTGATATGATGATGTTTATATTAAACCTGGCTGTAAGCTCAGTCAACCAGCATTAAAAGCGGTATATGTGTACATAATGGCAATTACCACTCTTAGTAACTCTAAGCAAAGAAAACAAAACTTACAGCAAAATCTCAATCAGTGTTGGTAGGCCTGCTATTCAGAAGTTAACCCAAAACCTCAAACCTGAGGTGCCACTAGTCCCCAGCGAGCAAAGGAAAACTGTCAACGGGTGGAACTATCTCACTTTGGATCTGATGGGAATATTTAAATCTGAAATAGAAAAGAAAAGAGCTCCTTTAATTAGGGTAGTCAATGTCCCTTTAAAAGCAGTGAGGAATCTTTTGCATGCTCGTTGGGGCCCAGTAGGTGCACTACAATGATCCAGACCTTCTAAGTGGGAAGAGATGAAGGTGGCAGTCCCTCAAAGGATTAAGAACACATACTATCCCTCTAAGTGGCACTTGACTTGGGTGTGGTGTCCCTTTAATGCACTAAGCAGGGTGCAAATTTTAGGCAAAAAGATGTCAAAAGTTCTCAGAAGCACTTCCTGGCAAGGGGCAACTCCTCTCTGGGCTGCAATAATTAATGGCAATTGTAGTAGACGTTCCTTTAAGAGGGTAGGCAGATGGTTAAGGGGACAATGATGTGGGTTGGCCTGTCAAAGGCATGCACTGCAGTCAGTTATGATTAGAGATGAGCGAATTATTCAAAAAATTCGGTTCGGCTGATTCGCCGAATTCGCCGAATAAAATTCGCTTCGAGCCGAATATATTCGCTGCGAATTTAACTTATAAAAAGGGTGTGTTTTCTAGGCTTCAGAGAGCCTTTATATTAGTGCAGAACACTGTACCTTTAATTTAAATGCCCTTGGAGTCTGCTGGGGAAGAGAAATAATACTGTCAGTCAGTATGACATGCAGATGAGTGCCGTCGATCTTATAATCACCGCACACTTCACTCATTTGGGCAGTTCACGGGGCCAAAACCAGAGTGTGGAGCCACAGTGTGGGCGGTGGAGGCAGCAGCAATGGGAGCCCATACAGCACCCTATGACAAAATGGAACCCACCAGCAGTGTGAGGAGACCTGAAAGTGGCACATGGCAGAGTGTGGCGATGGAGACAGCAGCAATGGGAGGCCGTACAGGGACCCATGACACACTCTGGACCTGGCAGCAGCATGAGGAGGCGGTACAGGGGCCCATGACAGATTACGGGCCTGGCAGCAGCATGAGGAGTCGGTACGGGGGCCCCATGGCAGATTACGGGCCTGGCAGCAGCATGAGGAGGCGGTACAGGGGCCCATGGCAGAGTGGCGGAGCGTAAGCAGCTAAAATTGAAGGCCATACAGAGGCCTATGTTAAAAAAGTCCCCCCAGCAGCAGCGTGGGGAGACGACTATCAAGAGTCCAATGGCAGAGTGGCGGAGCAGAAGCAGCTTCAATTGAAGGCCATACACAGGCCTAGGTTTAAAAGTCCCTCACAGTTAATTCCAATAACGAACTCTACTCCTCCGTGCAATCTACTTACGAGACCCTGGGCAGGTCTGGGTCCAATTTGTGGTAAGACTGGTTTTGTTCAGTCATGCTTGAGCGAGTAATAACAGGTCTGTGCTGCCCTTTGGTGTCTGGCTTAATGCGCACAACACTGAACGTCCCCAGCGTTTGTCAACGATTTGCCGTTAAGTGATGCAAACCCGCTGAACCACGTTCATGAGGAGCCGGTACAGGGGGCCATGAATCAGTATGGACCTGGCAGCAGCGTGAGCAGACGACAGAGGCACATGGCGCAGGGTGGCGGTTGTAGGCAGCATTATTCTGAAGCCATACACAGGCCTAGGTTAAAAAGCGGAAGCCGTCAGCAGCGTGAGCAGACGACAGAGACACATGGCGCAGGGTGGCGGTGGATGCAGCAGTATTCGGAAGCCAAACACAGGCCTCGGTTAAAAAGCGGGAAGCCGTCAGCAGCGTGAGCAGACGACAGAGGCACATGGCGCAGGGTGGCGGTGGAGGCAGCAGCAATGGAAGGCCATACAGCACCCTATCACAAAATGGAACCCACCAACAGTGTAAGGAGACCTGAAAGTGGCACATGGCAGAGTCTGGCGATGAAGTCAGCAGCAATGGGAGGCCGTACAGGGAACCCATGACACACTCTGGACCTGGCAGCAGCAAGAGGAGGCGGTACAGGGGCCCATGGCAGAGTGGCGAAGCGTAAGCAGCTTAAATTGAAGGCCATACAGAGGCCTATGTTAAAAATTCCCCCCAGCAGGCAGTGTGGGGAGACGACTATCAAGAGTCCAATGGCAGAGTGGCGGAGCAGAAGCAGCTTCAATTGAAGGCCATACACAGGCCTAGGTTAAAAAGTCCCTCCAGCAGCAGCGTGGGGAGACGACTATCAAGAGTCCAATGGCAGAGTGGCGGAGCGGAAGCAGCTTCAATTGAAGGCCATACACAGGCCTAGGTTAAAAAGTCCCCCCAGCAGCAGTGTGGGGAGACGACTATCAAGAGTCCAATGGCTGAGTGGCGATCCGGGAAGTCAGCGTTGTGATTGCAGATGCAATGCAGAAATTCTACGAAGTAATGCCGTGGGTGCGAAGAAGATCATATACCAGGGACAGGGGCAGGTCGAGGACACGTGATTTCAGTGGGCTTGCTCCCGGGCCATGCCAACTAACGGTTGTGTCTGACGTACCCACCGACCGTTGGCTGTAGGTGTCAGAGGTGACCTGGGAAGAGGAAGACGACCGAGTCAACCAATCGATGACGGCAGGGTTGTCGGTGGAGACACGACCGCTGGATGACACCGGGAGCACTGGCCTCTGGCTGCGACTAGTGCTGCCTCGACCCCTTCCTCTGCTGCCACGTCTGCTCGCTCCTGAAACATTGCCTCCTCTGCCACTCCTCTGCGTGTTGTCTGACATACATACTCTTTAATTCAATAAGCACCCCCCAAAAATAAAACCGGATTTAACTCTTTGAACGTACAATAGTGGTTGTGAAGCAGAAAGTCAGTTTATTTAGCACAATCGGTCAATTGCAGCTTGCCGTTGGCTGGAAACTGTACGTTTATGTCACTGGAATGCACTAATCACCCAAAAAATATATTACCGCCCACCCGGCGTGTATATGGATTTAACTCTTTGAACGTACAATAGTGGTTGTGAAGCAGAAAGTCAGTTTTATTGTACACAATCGGTCAATTGCAGCTTGCCGTTGGCTGGAAACTGTACGTTTAGGTCACTGGAATGCACTAATCACCCAAAAAATATTTACCGCCAGCCGGCGTGTAAATGGATTTAAACTTTTTGAACGTACAATAGTGGTTGTGAAGCAGAAAGTCAGTTTATTTAGCACAATCGGTCAATTGCAGCTTGCCGTTGGCTGTAAACTGTACATTTATGTCACTGGAATGCACTAATTGCTGGCTGGCTGCTGATTGACTAATGCGATCACATGTCTTGAATGCATTATGGGTCAGCGCTCCTTGTCTGCGCGCCTTCCCAGAGATCCCCGCCCCATCTTCTCTGTCCATTTTCTCCGTCGCCACACATGTTGCCGCCATTTTTGGGAAAATTCGATTCGTGCATCCGAAGTTTGCTAATCTTCGGATTCGTCGCGAATAGAATTTTTCCAAATCTTCGGAACGAATTCCACTTCGTCATGTTCGATTCGCTCATCTCTAGTTATGATGATTGAACTATGCTGCAAATGTGTTATGCTGCAAATAGTAGCAGCTGAGGGAACTAGGCTGCGACACGTGTTAACTATATGCAATGTCTGCAACTATGTGCAGGAAAGTGGCAGATTTGAAAGAAATGTCAGTGATCGGGGCTCTATCACCCGATCTGTGGAATCACTCAGGTCTTGGCAGCCTCTCACTCCCTGTAGATGGCAGCATCCATAGGTTCTCGGGTTCCACCTGCAGCATTCCGTTTGGGCATAACGCTCTGGTTCACCTGCTGGCAGAATGTCTTGCAAGGCTAGTAGTCAGCGACTCCTCCTTGTCTCTTTCCCTCTCTAGTTCTCCGGCATTCTGCACAACCCTCACCTCACTCCTGCTCTCCAGCTCTTCCTCCATTCACTTCCTGCCCAGTCTCCCGGGCTTCTGTATATAAATGTCCCCACCCACACACCAGCTCCTCTGGGAAATATAGTCTTCTGATACACTGCTCCCCATCAAAGTCCTGCGGTTCAGCATACAAGGCCCATGGGGCTACAGAGTGTGAGTGCCACTGACTTGCAGGACACTGTCATCTTGTGTTTCTCTTAACATCCTGCAACTTGCATTATAGCAGGGTGTTACATAAACATACTTTATTTCACTAAATCACACATCAGAAGATGCAGCTCAGGTTACAGCCATACTTAAGACCAAGAAAGAAGTTCCAGGAAAGATCCTTCTGAGTGTAGTATTAGAGTTTCAATAGCCACTTCATCAAGAAGGTGTGGGTAAAAAATATTAACACTGCAGAGTGATGATACAGTGTGTTTTTTTAGCATCTGGTAGGTACCTAGTAGCAGCAGTCCACATCACAGTTTGGTTGTTGGTGTTCATCCACCTAGGGATGTACATCTACCATGGGCCCACCTCTATCACACCATTCCATGCATAGCTTTATATCTAATTTGTTTATTTCTACCCTGCATAACAGTGTCTCAGTGTCATCCTGAGTTGTTTTTGTCCCCTCAGGAAGAAGAGTTTGTGTTGGAGAAAGTTTAGCCAAAATGGAGCTTTTCCTGTTTTTTACTGGCCTTCTGCAAACCTTCACTTTCTACCCACCTCCTGGAGTCTCCAGAGAGGATATAAGTCTTAAGCCTGACACTGGATTCCTTTTATTCCCTTTGCCACACTTAGTACGTGCAAAGCTCAACTACTAGTCAAAATCCATAACTAATAGGTGACAAGAAGAGGTCTTCAATACCCAGAAGTATGGATGGAAGCTTTCCTTGAAGGGAACTTGTAGTCATTTCACGTGTAATCATTTCTTTTTTGATACACTTGTAGATCTCCATGATGTATATAATATTGCTGAAATGTTTAAAAAGCCTTGTTTTTATGTGTAATTTTTGGGTAACTATATATATAAAGGAATGAGCTATATTTGATTAGTATATATGAAGGTGGGGTTTCATGTTATTTTCTATTCCCTGTTCTGTACTCTAGTTATGATTTACTGCTCCTTCTCATGATGCAAATCTGTGGTCTGCTGACCCACTGAAAACAATGCAGTATATATTTTTTCTTAAAAATATAATGGTTGTGGCAAGCTCAAGGGTGGCAGCCCTGGATGTCACTGCTATCCATAACAGCCGGGAGGGCAGACCATCTGGGAGGAGTGGTGAGGGTAGTGCAGGAAGGCTTAGACAGTTGGTGGTAGTAGGGGATTCTATAATCAGAAGGACTGATAATTTGTCGCTAGAATCGCCTCAACTGAATGGTTTGCTGTCTTCCTGGTACCAGGGTTTGGCATGTGGTGGACCGGGTTGATAAATTCCTGGTGGGGCTGCTGAGCATGACCCAGCTGTCTTGGTCCATGTTGAAACCAATGACAAAATACATGGAAGGTGGAGGCTGCAAGTTGAAGGGAAAGACCTCCAAGGTGATAGTCTTTGAAATATTATCTGTGCTATGCAAAACTCAGGAAAGACAAGGGGAGATTTGCAGCTTCCGGACCACCCTATAGCAAAAATATCGCTACAGGGTGGCACGGGTGCGCAAAATCCCGTATATATACATGATTTTGCATTTTTGGGTAGGGGGAGCTTGCAAGGTGTGCACGCACCCTACCTACGCCGCCATTTGCAGCTATCAATCACCGGGTCCTGGCCGGTGATTAACTCGCTGGCGCGCGGTGATTGCCAAGGATCTCCGACGGGGAGGAGAACTGCTTGAAAAACATAACAGTTCTCCTTCCTGTCAGCTCGTGCACACTGCTTTGGATGGCTGCACACAGCACAGCCATGCAAAGCAGTGTGATTACAGTGAAACACACACACAGCACGCTGTGTAAAAACAGCACACAGCACACAGTTAGCCCTTTGATCACCCCACATATTAACCCCTTCCTGCCCAGTGCCATTAGTACAGTGTCAGTTTTTTTTTTAGCACTGATCACTGTATTGGTGTCACTGGGGATGTCAGTGACACCAAGTTTGTTCCCCCCAGTGTCAGCTATAAGTC